TTTTTCCCGAACGAGATGAATCCGTTGTTGCTGTAGTTGTGGAGCTGATGGTAGAAATGACGGAGGACGGAGACGAGGTCGAAATTTTCTTTACTGCAATTGACGCCATTTTCTGCGAACCTAGCATAATAAATAAAAAAGAATTCAATAAAAAGTATCGTAAAATGCATGTGTCGAATTTCCGTTGAAGATATCAGATAAATCTCAATTTCTACTAGTAGACCATGAAATGCTTTGTGATAATTCGAGAAAAAAATACTGTATATCAGCAGTTCTTCAGCATTTACAGGATGTGGTACTGTTCTGTTGTTTATATAGTACTGTATACGAGTACTGTATATATATTTGAAAGATTCGAAGCACTTTACTGATGGTTTCACTATACTGTACTTCCACACTCGGGGTGTCGAGAGAGATCTTGACTGAATCTCTCAGTTCTTTTAGTTGCTGCGACATCTATGAGAGGAAAGCAAAGCTATGTTTTACCGCTTCATGCCTTGAGAAAATAGATGCTACGTAATGTAATAATTTTAAAGCTGACTTCTCGCATGGTAGGTTTTCAGCACCAAAATGAATGACTGATGGTTGACAGTTTAGTGCCTAATCTCATAGATGTACAGTATCTGGGAACAGGCTGAAGACCTTGTACTTTAAATTGGGATCAGTAATTGGGTTGTAGTTCTTCTTACTGATATCTTATTGGTTTTGTTATCAGTTAAGGAAAGGGGCGTAGGCAGCATTCACACCATTTGTGCAGATGTACATTGTGGGATGTATTTTCTATTCTTTTGTTAACCATACAAAAATTACTTCTCTGTTTCGCCTTTTGAAGTGATTGAATGCTTTTGGAAGGATTTGGGTTGGGAAGGGGTTTTGGATGTGGGAATGTTTTGTGAACCTTGTAAATGCTGAAGAGCGAAAAATCAATAAGCTTCTTGTCCAATCCAATTCAATTCATAGATTTTGCTAATACAGTATATGGATCTGAAGTTGGTCTTTTAAAACTGGAGTAATACAGCATCACATGCAGTACAATATTGTAATCCTAGATAAAATCATGCAGTATCTAATCCGAAACCAAAACCATTTTCGCATTTTGAAACAGATTTCAAAACAGAATTCGTGTATGCATCGGATTGGTTGTTTTTTGAAGATTATATACATAAAAAAATAAAAAAGTTGTACCTCTTCTTTCAGGAACAAGGTTTGAAAACCTTTGAAACTGTGCACAAAAGCTTCAAAACATTTCCTGAAGACTATTATGCTCTTGTAAAAATAATTTTTCGCAGAAGGGTCACGTGAACTGAACCACTGCGTTGATACTACGTTTCCGAAAAATCCAAATATAGGAAATTCTGCGAATTAAAATTGGCAAAATGCTGATGAAGGAATTCTCTGGTCTTGATCAATGCCTATGTATACAGTACTCAGTTCGCTCGACTACACTTTCAAATATCGTAGATCTAAAGGCAAAAGTATATGTTTTGGTCAACATTTGACATTGCTGGTGTTGCAACAACCAACTAAAATTATCTGAACGGATGAGGAGGTATCAGAAAACTTGGACGTGATCAACCTGAACTGAGACAGAAATGACTGCTTATTCTCAGAACATATAAATCATTCAAAAAAAAAACCCTAGTATTAGAGGTTTAATCCAAGTAATGACATGAACCGCTTCAGCCTGAGGAATAATAACTAAGTACTTTTTAATACCTGACAAAAGCGTTAAATTTTTTTTTCATGTCCAAGTTAATACTTCACTCAGCAGTGTTGGACTCGGAATCGTCCCCAGTTGGCAGTTTTCCTCGTCGTTTTCGCTCGTTTATATCCACCAAACAGGTCAAAGGGGAATTTTCCAGGTTCAACTGCGTCTCTTGCGCGGAATTTTCGCCATTTCTGCTGTTGTGACGATGCCGAACACGAATTGTCAAATTGACAGAGCTTTCTTGCAATTTCTCTGAATGACAACCGGCGGTTTTATCAGCATTGGTCTCACTCTTTCTCTTCAAACTGTCTGGTAGGTTGGAAAAATTCCTACTCGTTTTCACAGGCTTTTGTCGCAATTCTTGTTTATTTTCCGGCATCTTGCTTCCACAAGTCTCAATCGTGTTTGCAGGAGATAAACATGGCTTCAGAAGCTTCCATTTATCGTGACTAGAACTGTTCGGAGATGGGCCATTGATTGGTGCGAGTCCTCCATTCGGCGCGATTGATTCTACATAGGAAAAGAAAGTGGATGAATACACAAGTGACATCTACGTACAATTTTGAAAACTTCACGAACGTCAATCACATCATCTGCTGTAGGTGACTGTTTCTGTATTGGCAACGAGCGTTCTGAGGAGAATCATCAGCCCGCGGTTGTTCTTATTGTGAATGGAGTTCTAACCAACTCTTAAAATTGGATTTCAAGCATTCAATATGCATGTGGTAACGCGTAAGAAAGTGGTATCCAAGCTTAAAGGTGAAAATCTATCCATGGGAACCAGGAAAAAGCTAGTTTTCGTTTGATCAATAAGCTGGCACGCGTTTTTCCTCCCCTAGTTTTCGGGAACGATACCGAAACAGGATTCTGCCTTTCCTTGATAACGAATGACCGAGCTTTGAAAAGGAAATCGGAAAAATGAAAGCTGAAATGTGAGATCTGTAAGCTGGAGTCTTGACTGCTGCTAAAGATTGTATTCCAAGAAATAAAGTTCGAAGAACGTGACTCATTATTTTCCTTGAACTGTACAGATCGGATAAACTTCAACAAGGTTTCGGAATGTGTTTTATACTTTCTTGCAATAGCTCTTGTATAAAGAGGACCCCTGGATTACGAACATTTTTGTTTTCAAATTCCTTCGTTTATTATTTTCAAGAATCGCGGGACGTATAGCAAATTGTTATGCATTTATTTTCGAAAAAGAATCCCATTTTATTTTCCCCCGACTGTCTTCTCTATATAGTTTCCACGGGTTTCGAGACAATATCGGAGTATTCAGTCTAGGACGCTTTCCAATCTCTACACCAAGTGTTGGCCTCATTCATTGAGGCAGGTAAAAGATGCAAGGAGTACTTTTCAGTTTGTGGATTGCGAATCGTAATTGCTTAACCATATACATGACTCGCTCAGTTGGATACTTGGCCCTCTCATAATTTTAGCGCGTGATAATTTGCCAGAATGCGTGATAACCCGTAATATATTCCGGGCTCACGACGTACTTATTACTGCATATGACCCAGCGTTGCGCTCCTTCGCATAGCTTGTTTGAAGGTCACCTCCTTAAGAAGAACGAAGAATATGCAAAGCCCTCTGCTCTGCTCCTTTATGTCCCGACATGTTTTTGGATTTAGAATTGGATTATTCAAGATGTAGGACACTTGATTTGTCTGCAATTTTTTGGGGTCCACCATCAAAAGGTACTGGTATACGATTTGAAAACTTCAGAAACTTTATTGAAGCCCGTTATTGTTTGAGGTTTCTTCAGAGAACTTGAAGCACGTTTTAGATTAACTTAGGGCATATTTATGAAATTTCGTTTCAACAACACGTTACATTTTTATCCAAAAAGCGAGAATCGGAGCGATGCTATTGTGTATTGAATTAAAAAAAAAAACCCACCGCAAATTTTGTAACGAATCCGAATTTATTGCAAAAATTTGAAGAATCAAAGAAATTTGCATGCCTTCATAGTTTTTCAAAGAAAGTGTCACACGAAAGCAGTTATTTTCCAGTATATTTAACGCTTGGATGACTTGGTAGTTGAATTTATTTTTCTATCGAAGGTTTCAAAATACTTTCGAATAGTTTCAATTCTTCTGCATAATTCGAAGAATTTCTTGGAACCCGCATCCCGGGAATCTGAACTCTTTGAGGTACAGAATCATCATGGGTCCAGTACTATTTTCCCTCAGAATTCCGTATTCATAGTCAATTTAATTTTTTTATTAACAGACAATTGAATCTTCGTCAAGTTTCAGCTCTGTCCTTACCAGCATTGTTTCATTTCAAATTACATGATATGTATATCTGATTTTTCAAATCAAAGAATACGCGGAATTCTAATTTTATATCACGCATTTCCTCAGAAAAAAAATGCGTATTTCTCCAAATATGAATATAGAATCCTCATGAGTTTCTCAAAGATCCAACAAGAGGTGTTTAAACAATTTTTGATCGGAAATGTTCAATATTAAATAGAAATTCGGAATCATTTATCCGTCGACCTGATAACTTACATCCACAGTATACAGTATAGAAAACATACGGACAGAAAAATATCTAGAAAACGTTTTATTTTAAAAGCCATATCATACTCGTACATATGTTAGCGTCAAATCGCCATTCACATGCAGGCATATTGCATGAAATCATTACGAAAATTATTTTCTGCAGAAGGGCTGAAGCATTTGATAAACTTTTCTGAATGGAAAGAAATTGAATTAAATGAGGATGCGTCTCAGATTTGCAGGTAACTTTTTTGTTACATTCTTGGCACAGAAAATATAACTGCGCCGTAAAATCAACACATTCTTGTATTAAACTGAATACGGCATTAAAGAACGATTTTCAAATTATGTATGTTATGAAAGTATTCGATGACTTACCCAATGCGGAAGTGATTCCGTTTTCAGGGCGACGAATGAGACAGTACCCTCCAGTTTGGGTTCTCACTCGAACTGCCGGGGCCATGTCCCATTTTTTCCGTCGTTTGTGATTCTCATTCACCGACGAATTTGAAGAAGCGTGTATCAAGTTGCTGACGACAACGTCATTATCGTCATCGACATCAGTGTCATCATCATCATCATCGCTCGACTTAATTTCCCGATCTCGGAAGCTTGGGTTTCTGCGCTCAAAGTTCAACACCGGTAACTCAAGGCCAAAACTTTGTCCTCTAAAGGCAGCCCAAACCAGCTACAATTACTAACCCGTGTCCCTTGGCTTTCACAGCCCTTATTTGCTGGCCAAATGTGAGAATTGTTTGCTATCACGATAATTCGGATCACGGCACATGATTTTCGGCAGGAAAAATCTCTCAGAAGTCGAGGAAATTTGCACTGTAGCCGGCGGCGGAGTTTCCGCGGGTAAATGCGATACCTTTTTGCACAACGTCACTTCCATTATTCGAATTTTATCAAATCTAAAACACGTGGAAGGCAATTCAAGAAATATTTTTCAAATTTTAATAAAAAATAGCGACAATGTAACTTCTTTGAAGGTTTGCCAACTGATGTGCCCAGCAGAAAGTTTAAAAATGATTAACGACTAAATTATCAAGAAACAAATTCAACCGAAATGGCATCGAATTTTTTGCCTACTTACTTATTGTTTTCAAATTGTTATTTTAAACGGAAATCTATTTGCCCCAATCTCCTTCAAAAAATGTTTACGTTTAGGACTTTTTCAGACGCAATTTTCGATAGAAAGCTTGTTTGTTTTGCTTGTTTAAAAAAAAGCAAAAATTCACTGCAGAGGAAATATACCTTATTAGCACTTAAAATCTAAAAAAGAACTTTAAAACCGACGCGTCTATATTATAACTCTTTCATTTAAATTTCTCATAAACTGGTCGGTTTTTTTTTGACTGATCGAATAATCTGCTGCTGCACTGGAATCAAGACATAAATTTCACCATCTTCGAAAGAAAATACCATTCAAAATTGTGTGGCTTTTCTAGTTCTTTCAATAAATATAAAAATACTGTAATATTCATGTTCCTACTACGAGTATGTCAAGCTCACGTCTTATTCACTATACATGAGCTATAATACTATCACAAGATCTGTGTCATTTTCAAGGAAATGTGTAAAAAAGAAAACAGGTATTGGAACGTTCACTGCTAATGAAACACTCTGTATAATTGTTCAATTTGGATCAAAATTCGAAACAGATGCACAATTCATCCCCAAAAAGTAAATATTTCAGATCAGATTGATACAATGTTGATAGAGGCACAGAATCTCTCACTCTCTTTGCAACGATATTTCTACGCAGTCATTCTCTGTATAATCATTTTTTTCATGTCCCAGAGTTCACATTCCATGTTGTAAAGGTGTCTACAACAAAAGTGTAGCTACAACAAATTTTCTTGCTGGTACCTGGAATTTCGTTCTTGAGACAGTCCACCTGTGATTATTTTTTCAAAGTTGAAACGCAATATTCATCTGCTCATATTTAAACTCTAACAACATACATACTTACATATTCCTAGCCGGCTAGGAATATGTAATTAAGGGGGAACCTTTATTACATATCCCTAGTTTGGTCTGCTTTAATCACAGTCCACAATAAATCACAAGCAAACACAATACAAAAATAATACATCACAATAAATGCAGTAAAGCAACACACATTCAATAAAAACAAGAAATTTGTGCACACAAATTTAGGGTGCAATAATGCAATGCAAGAATTCAAGCAGAATAATTGGGGTTGGAATGTTTGTTGGGAGTTTACTGTAAGAGCTAATTTTAAGGACTGATCATTGGGAGTGGAAGAGTGCTAGATTTTTATAAGATTTAGCCCAATGCTTCCATCAGCTGACCTGACCAAAGCACTGGACTTTTCCCCTTGCTTGTGATTGGCTGGATAGATGTGCACCTAAGAAGTTGTACATTGGAGGAACGGATGCCTGAAGGAAAATGGGGCCAGAATTCAGGTCCTGGGACCTGACATCCCTTGGCCTGAGTTCTGGTTCCCCAACAGAGCAGATTATTATATTTCATTTCTCCATGGTGCCACAGTCCCACCAACTGAAAAATCATTTTTCATTATATATATGTACATCAGTATAAAAAATCTAATATTTAGCACAGCTTGCAAGGGCACTATTTGCAGTACTTCCACGTAATTCACTGTGTCGAAAAAAACAAAGTCAAGGTATATTTTTAACTTTCATAGAATTTCACAGGGTTCTCCCCAGCTGCTGCCCAGGCACGTGCCAGCTAGTGAGTGACTGCTACCCATCAGCAGCAAGCAAGGACCTTTCTCAGCCCCACAACTGGGGAACTTTCCATTATTCCCCTGTTCGTGGGGGGAAAAAAGGAAAAATATCGTCATCTTCGTAGGTTCAATCCTGGACATGGAACATAACGGATATAAAAAATAAATAGTTACGTCCTGCACGTTCGTGATAGGAAACTCGCAATAAGAAGTTATATTTACTTTAATAATTTGCTCCATCAGAAAAAAAAAACCGAGAGAAATCACGCGAACTCTGTCGGAACATTCGAAGTATCTCTTTAATATACACGTTTATCGAGATTCTCCATCGCATGACATGAGCTCTGTGAAGGTGGTCAGTTTTACACGGGAATTATACGCAGTTTTTCGTGTGTGTGTGTGAAGAACTGCGCTGTTGAATAAAGGCCTGACGAGGTGCCTCTTTATTAAATTAATCCACGAATCTTGCGATCTTTTCCAATTTGGCGGAACTTGATCCCTTTCTCCGAAAATTCTCAACATTTTTATTTCGAGAGAAATGTGGAGCTCGCAGGAAGTTACAGATCAACCTGAGGCGTGTCAAGAAGCTGGGGCTTTCGGGGACGAACCTTCTGCACCTCCCTTAGTGGTGAAGATATACCATATATTTTTCCAAACTCAGTCTGTTGAAATACAGTTGAACCATGATAAGTCAAACCTCATTAAGTCAAATATTGGATCTCCTTGATTCAAATTTTTGTTAAATCCTCATCTGCATTCCCTTAAACACAAGGCATTATAAAAACCTCTGTAACTCAAAGGCTTTCCTTCTAAAACCTTCATGAGTCAAATTTTCTGATGCATTTTGATATTATTTTCTTGAAACAGAAGGAACAACTCTTAAAAAGATTCGATGCATTTTGAAAGGATGTTGAAAATGCAATTAGACCAATGAACCCCCGCCTAAAAGTTCAGCATCCTTTAAACTCATTTTAGACGCAATTTAAGGTCCAGAATATCATCATTTACAATTTACTGCAATTATTCTTTGTTTCCCATAGCAAAAATGCTTCCTTCCACAGCACAAACATCTATAATACAAGACCTCCCAAAGTCAATTTTTTTGCTGGTCTCTTGAAAGTTGACTTAGACAGGCTCAATTGTAATTGAGATGGGCTGAAATATATGGTAATATGCCATAATTTTATTCTCTGAAATGTTTCCTGCGCCTTTTGCAGTGCATACAACTTGATAAGAGGAAAATTTTTAGTTCGCACTCCTGTTTCAGTTTGAGCTGTTACTGGGAAGATAAAAACGCAAACAATTCAACCTTGATGCTATTTTCCACCATTAAGATGTGTTATTGAGTCTGATTTCTTGTAAAATCTTTTCCACAACAAACTGTATGCAAATTTAACCCTTGGGCAGTGGCGGGTTCTTATGCATTGTGTGGCAGTGCCAGAATATTTTTGCAGGCTCCTGAATTTTGGTTTGACCTAAGGCCGTCAATATGCAGCTAGCTTTGGCTGGGTAGCCAAATCTGGAAAAAGAAACAAGTCATTTTTCTTCTAATCTCCCAATGCTGATCCAATGACAGGAATTCTGAAAAAATTCCACCAACAGTAATTTTTTTCTTAAAAGTGTTNCTGGCTTTCAAGCTTAAATTGAATCTTTGAATGGGGAAACAACACAAGGCCAGGGAAAAAAAGGGAAGCCTTGAAGCTTTTATTTTTTTTATTTTCAGGTGAAATTTTTCTGTGGAAAATTTAAAAAATGCCAGGATTTTTCCGGACTTCGCCCTGCACACACTGTTGAGGTTTTTTTTTAATTCCACTCTGGAGTGACACAAAAATCTGCAAAAAAAGTCCAACTTAGCCGCAGAAGGGTTAAAAGAGCTGAACCAACTTTTATTTTGATTTACTACAGTGTTTGCATTGCTACAGCTTGATTTGCTACTGAGCTACTGTAGCTTCAAAATCAGTCGACATTTTTTGGTCGTCCATAAGCAGGGATAAGTAACTGATGGTCATCCTAGCAAAAAATTGAAGTTTGTTGAAATTCAATTTTACTGTGTGTAACTGACCAAATGAGAGACCTAAAGCCCTATACAAATCAGTGATTCATCTTGATCATTAGAACGTTTTAAAGCTCCTGTTATGAGGAACAATTGAACCACGAATCTAGACTGATCACTGTGTAAGGATTGCGATTTTTTGAGCTGAGGAATGGCAGGAATTTTACATCTTATTCATATAAATCTTGGGTTGAATGTGGCTCAAGTTAGGAAATTTTAAAGTTCATATTCAATTTCTTCTTTGCTCGAATCCAAGTGTTGAAGCCGGATGACCCCATTCTGAAAGCGCTGGAGACACACTTGGAATCCGTGACCGAGTTCGTGACAAAGGTCGGAGTGGAAACCGACGACGCATTCGACAGAAGTCCCGTCGACCAGCAACAACTCGACGCCCTTTTCTCAGCTGCCCAGGAGACTGTGGTGGTGGACGCCATGGGCACCTCGGGCAAAATATTCGGCGCCGCAATGTCGGCGCAACGGCGCCGCTCGAACCTGACTCGGGTACTCGCACCAGCAGCGGCGGAAAACGCAGTTGAACCCGATGAGGAAAGTCCTGGAATGGAGAAACTATGTTTGGCTGCCGAGTATTACACCAAGCTTTTCAAAAAGATTTCTGGAGAAGAGAGCGGAAAGAATCTGAATCTCTTGTGCTTGTTGATTGATAAAATCGGGACTCTGACGAACGAAATTAGCAAGTCCCAGCCCGGAAAGGCGAGTGAGATTTTGGCCAATTCCAATTTGACGGACATCGACATTCCGCTTGATGAAGGTGAGTGTATGAAACATATTTCATTATCCTTTATACAAAACATGAGGAGGAAAATTGGCATGAAAGAAGTTCGCAAATGCCCTTCTGTATCAATTTTTAATAACTTATGATTGTCTTACTAACGCTCAACTTAATCCACATTACTCAATGTTTTGTTGATATTTTGTGTCTCGCTTTACAACTGTCTTTTACCGTTCATATGATTGGTGGTACAGTATTACTTTCACTGGTTCTTCACTAATGTCATTTTGTGCTTGTTACGCTTACTTTAACCAAGCTCTGCAACCAATTTTTGTGATTGTAATTCACAAAAATTTGACTTTTGAATTGTCTAAATTCTCAATTTCTTCGCAGCGGATGATTTTCCTGAGGAAGATTCTGAAGCAGCGCCGAAATTCAAGTATGTGCCTCTGGACAAAAGTGAAATCTTGTCCACAATCGCGGAAGTCTTGCCAAGCTTGATAGTTGCGAAAAAGCTACGTCCAGAAGCATCTTCTGGTTCACTGCAAAATGGCGGAGATGCGCGAATCTCTGAAGACTGGACTTTGAATGACTCAATCACTGATTTGTCCCAAAAGTAAGGGTTGTCTGTAAAACTGCGTATGTATGGAATACAATCAACCCCCACCCAACAGACCTAAGGGAATTTTGCCTAACAGACTGCCTCTGGACTTCTGGAGGCAGTTTCATCTCCTGCCTAATTGGACAAAATCCACCTAACAGACTTCTTTTGTTTAAAATATATGGTATAAATAAAAAATCTTAATATTTTAATGATTGAATTTGAATATCACTTTTTACATAGCAGACTAGTCTATGGCACAAATTAAGTCCATTGTGTGGGGGTTGACGTATTGTATGCATCCATTTTGAGGAATATAAATATAAAAAGGAAAGTGTTCAATTTTGAGAAGCATTCCTGAAGAGCCATCAGAGAACCTCATGATTACGTTCCCATGCTTATAGTTACTATAGTCCTGAGTTCACTGTATTTGTAAATGCTAGTGGTATAAAATCTTGGTCATTTTGACTTAGTGATATTCCCTCCACTGAGAAGAGTCATTTTGGGTAGAAGAATATAACTTCTGTCATTCCTGAGTTTGCACTTGGACCAGATTTGCAACTTCATCTGGTTTAGTCATGCGCGTTTAGAATTTAAATTTTATCAATTTCTATCCTTGAAAGTGAATATTTTCTGTTGATGAGCCTTCACTACCTTATTTTGAATTACAGTCAACCCCCGTCTAACAGACTTGATTTGTGCAAGGGACGAGTCCGTTAGACAAAAAGTCCTTTACACAAATTCAATTACATAAAAAATAAAAAATTTCAATTTTCAACACTAATTTCAAACCCAAAGAAGTCTGTTTAGCAGATTTTGTCTGTTGGGCAGGAGGAAAAACTGCTTGCAGAGCTGGTCTGTTTGGCAAAAATCCCTTACATGGGAGATCTGTTAGGCGGGGGGCCACTGTACATTTATTAAATACAGTACTATAGGACGAAGTGTGCTGCTTTAGCCAAATAGATTGCTGATCTGATCTACATCTTCCAAAAGTGAGATTATTTAAATTTCGTCAAGATAAACCCTCCTTTTGAACGCCTAATTTGCTTCAAAGCATTTTAGTAGTCCATTTCTAATTTTTACTACATTTATTTTTTGAACTGCACTGAAATCAACAAACTTTAAATATTTATTGCTCACGTTAAATTTTCATCTCAAAAATCAAGTATTCAGCTCTTTTTATTCAGCAAATGTTGAAACCACCTGTACTTGATATTATTTTACAGTTATTTGTCAATTTGTTATCCATTTTAGAACTTTTTAGACACCCGCTTCCTTATCGAAAAACAGGTTGCTGGAAAAACATTTAATGAGAGTACCCGAGGAAGAGCGGATGACTCCGGAAGCTCTGGCGTTTGTGCAGAAATTCGGCGATACGAAAGCAGCTATAAATGCCCTAGTTTTGCTCTCTGATGAGCTTAATGACTTCTTAAACCAAGTAGTCATCACAAATGATGATGACGATGAAAATGATGATCCTGACTGCAACGATGACCATAGTGACGATGAAAATAAGTTCAAACCTGAACAAGCTGAGGCTAAGGAAGATATTCTGGGCCTGGGTGTTGCTGAAGATTCAAAACCTGCTGAAAATTCTCATGCTGAAAATATTGAATGAAATGTGAATCACACTGCTAGTGTTTTTACCGGGATCAAGAGTCACGTCTGATTTCTTCTGTCGAAACCAATTGCAAACGATATCCTACCTTTCGTAACATGTTGGTTGCCATTTTATCCACGAAAAAGGCTCAACATGCTTGAACATGATTTGTGATGACCGAGTATTATGGTATATTTTTTCAGGCTCTATTTCGGTGATGCATTGCAGCCGGAGGAGACAAAATTGAACCCATACTTCCCTCTCCACCTCTTTTGAAAACACATTAATCTTGGAAACAAAGTGGAAGAATTTCCATCTAATTTCAACCAATTGTTGAAGACCCAATCGAAGAAAACCGCGCAATAATTTTAAATGGATTACTGCGCGGTAAGAGTTCTTCAGAAAAGTGTTTTCAACTTTTACTGTGCTTGTGCGGAATTTTTTCCAGCAATGGACACCGCCGCAAAAAAGAAGGGAGATGTTGACATGTAATTTAATCAACAAAAAAGAAGGGAGATGTTGACTTGTAATTTAATCGACGCACCCCGGGATGCGCTGAAAAAGACAAGAGCCAGAAAGAAAAAATTGTTCCCCAGGAACTGGGGCAATTTGAGCTGACTGCAAAGTTGGCAAAAACAAGAGAGAGAGAAGGAAAGAAAATCCCGGCAACCAGGCAATTTGAGCTGATCATAAAAATTCAGCACACTATTTAGAAGAGACGAAATTTCCCCTGAACCAGGGCAATTTAACAGGGCAAAACAACGCCAGCTGCTGGCCAACTGGACAGAAACCCATCAGTTTGCGCAAAAAGCAATTTGTCTCCCCAACTCGAACAGCTTCAAGCTGTCAAAATTCTGCAACTTCCCCTGAAGACCGATCTTCTGGGGCAATACCCCAACACTAAAAATCCCTGCTAAAATAATAAAGTTGCACCCAACAACAGGGGGAACAAACCAAGTTCGAAACCTTCAAAACAGCCCTAAAATTTGCTGTCAGCTGCCAACATCTGGCACTCTACAAAACTTCAAAAATCCCAGCACCTGGGTGTTTTTCTGTCTTCGAAAAATCGCACCAAAAAGAGTGGGAAAAATTGCTTAAAATCCCCCCAGGAAAACCATTACGCCCCCCCATACGCATAAAGGACGGGTCCATTTCAACTTTGTATGGATGCGTACCAACTAGTGGCCAGTTGACCCTACTGCCGGACTTGAAAGTGGACATGTCTGCAGTGGATGCGTCCTTGACTGGTGAGTGGTCACGTCCATTCTGGACGCGACCAGGACGCGTACCTTGATAAATTGTCAAAAGGGGCATGGAAGTGGTATGCCCTGACGTAGGCCTATGTGGGGACAGCGCAAGGTAGGTCTATGTTGGGATATGCAACTGTTGCATATCCCGACGTAGACCTACCTTGCCTGACATAGGCCTACGTCCGGACAGCGCAAGGTAGGTCTACGTTGGGATATGCAACTGTTGCATATCCTGACGTAGGCCTATCTTGCCTGACGTAGGCCTATGTCAGGTAGGTAGGTAGAATTTAAAGTGAACATAACTTTTTCTCAGAATTTAAAGTGAATCTAACTTCTTTGCATACATAAAAAGTTACATTCACTTTAAATTCTGCCAAAAATTCAAAAATGGAGATGAATTCAAATTGAAAAAAGTTTCAGAAAGAGGACTTCAATGGCTACAAGAAAAAGAACTTGCGAGGTAGTTATACATCATGCTGTACATCTAAATTGCAATGTACTTTTGGATGTTGTGACGTAGATCTATGTTGCAAAATGTCCTGACCTACTTTTGATGCTTCCACCTTGCTGGCACCAGTTCATCAAGTCAGGACATTTTGCAACGTAGATCTACGTCGCGAAATGTCCTGACCTACTTGTGATGCTTCCGCCTTGCTGGCGCCAGTTCATCAAGTCAGGACATTTTGCGACGTAGATCAGGACATTTTGCGACGTAGATCTAAGTCGCGACATGCAAAAGTTCATTGCAATTTAGATGTACAGCACAACATAGATCTACGTCGCGAGTTATTTTTGTTGTAGTCCTTGAAGTCCTCTTCCTGAGGCTTTTTTCAAATTGAATTTATCTTCATTTTTGAATTTTTGGCAGAATTTAAAGTAAAGGTAACATTTTATGTATCCAAAAAGTTAGATTGACTTCAAATTCTGAGAAAAAGTTACATTCACTTGAAATTCTGCAAAAACTTCAAAAATGAAGATAAATTCAATTTGAAAAAAGTCTCAAGAAGAGGACTTCAAGGGCTAGAAGAATATGAAATTAGTTTACAACATAAATCTATGTCTTGTCATAGATCTACATCACAATGTACTTTTGCATGTCGCAACGTAGGTCTATGTCGCGACATGCAAAAGTACATTGCAATGTAGATCTACTGTGACACGTAGATCCATGTTGTAAACTTATTTTGTATTCTTCTAGCACTTGAAGTCTTCTTTCTGAGACTTTTTTCAAATCGAATTTATCTTCATTTTTGAATTTTTGGCAGAATTTAAAGTGAATGTAACTTTTTCTCAGAATTTATAGTGAATCTAACTTCTTTGCATACATTAAAAGTTACAATCACTTTAAATTCTGCCAAAAATTCAAAAATGGAGATAAATTCAATTTGAAGAAAGTCTCAAAAAGAGGACTTCAAGGGCTACAAGAAACAGAACTTGCTACATAGATCTACGTCGTGCTGTACATCTAAATTGCAATGTACTTTTGGATGTTGCGACGTAGATCTTTGTCGCAAAATGCCCTGACTTGCTTCTGATGCTTCCGCCTTGCTGGCTCCAGTTCATTGAGCACTGGGCCCGGCGTAACCATCAGTCGCGTCCTTTCTGGACATGGCCCGGACGCATCCAATTTTGAAGCTTTTGGATGCGTCCATTCCGGAAGCTTTAAGGACCTGTAATACAAGTGTCTTCCTCTGACATGTCATACCCCTTGTAAATGTGGACATGTCCATTTTACAGTCCCAATCCCATCTGCTGGGGACATGTCCACATTGGACGCTCAATGTTCCAGTACACAAAGCATGACTTTTGTACATGTACAAAGATGCGCTTGTTGGACTGTTAACTGGACACGTCCATTCAGCGTCCTTTTTCAGACCCGCCCCAAGTTTTTGCGTTAGGTTTTCCTGGGCTCCAAATTTTGCGTCACAAACACAGTCAGGATTCAAAGGCCAACAGGCAATTTTACAAGGAAAATTGGAAATTTGCGGACTTGTACAAAATAATCAAATCTTTGTAGACTTAGAAATTTTCAAATCTTTTGTGGACTTGTACAAAATTTGTAACCTTTACAGACTATACAAAATTCTATGCCCTCCTTTTTCTGAGTGGTGTGAACATCAGTCTTTCCAACTCTGGAACACTTGTCATAATTTTCTTTTGAAATCCCTCTTAAAATCAATTTCTTGAAAAGAATAATTGTGAATAAAGCTCTTTTTTCCATCTCTGGAACAAAATTATAACCAAAGATTGGAGACCTATCAAAATTTTGTTGTGATCAAGAAAACCTCATCAAACTTTCAGGAAAACCTAATTGTTTTTAGTGCCTTTGTGTGTTTGTACTGTGTGCCAAAATCACCTGAGTCCAGTTCTGGAGCACTCTTGCATTCTCTGCAGGAAAAGAAGGTGCTGGCAACACAGTCCAAATTTTACCATCTTTGCATTGCGTCGTGCTTCCAAAATTTTGTATTTTACAAAAGACTTGCCTGACTAACATATTTTTGCGAAAATCTGTGATCTGTTGTGTATTTTATCTTGCCAAAACTGTTGTGCATATTTTTTGTCTTGTCAATTTGCCTGTAGATTTGAACAAAGGCTTGCGCTGTTTGGGAGAGAATCCCTGGTTGATTTGCGCACAGGCCAATTGTTGTGTTGAATTCTTTTCTCTGACCAAAATCTCTCAACTTTTGTCACATAATTCTATTTATAAGTTTTCTCAATCATCTTTTTGAAGTTGCTGCAATTCTCAACAAGGTGTATGGCTTGAAAAATTTCTTCTCCTGATAAAACCATACAGTGCTTCTACAAGAAAAATAATTTTTTCATTTTTTTCTGTGAGGCATTGTGGAAAATTCATGCAACTTTTTCTGCAGAAAATGGAGGTAGTATATTTTTTTCCTTTTCAACACTTTCCATGTGGTTTTCTTTCTTGGAAATAAATTTGACAAAAGAAAAGTATTCAACAAAATTCAAATTTTGCGCAAAATGGAAAAGGTATTCATGCAAATTACTGTACTTCAGAAATTGAGCAAAACCAAACAAATTGCTGTGAACTCTGATGTTGAATGACAACTTGCCTGAATGCATTTAAAAGGTTAGCTAAGTCTGATTTTATATTACAATCTTGGAAATTGGGTTTCTATGACATGATGGAAAGTACAGTACATTGCTTCACATTTTAGAAAATGTATTTCATCATATCATAGATATTATAATTTTGAATTGTATACTGCTTGGAATTTATGTACTGCAGTATTTTGTCAGAGAAAATTTCTGGAAAAACATTCAAAATAAATTAATATACATTTTAATTGTGAATTTTAACCCTTTTGTAGCAAAGCTGACTTTTTTGAAAATTTTGGGTGTGTTGTCCGTAAACCGAGGTATAAATAAATCTTCGAGTTCAATAAAAAATATGTTTCAAATATATTCAATCCACAAATATTCGTACAATCTCACAAAAACAAAAATAGAGAGCTTTAAGAGAGTCTTGCTAAAATGTTCTGCAAGTCTCTCTGAGAAATAA